ATAGGACGGCGGATTGCACGCCCATATAGGATTCTATAGGACGGCGGATTGCACGCCCATATAGGATTCTATAGGACGGCGGATTGCACGCCCATATAGGATTCTATAGGACGGCGGATTGCACGCCCATATAGGATTCTATAGGACTGCGGATTGCACGCCCATATAGGATTCTATAGGACGGCGGATTGCACGCCCATATAAGATTCTATAGGACGGCGAGTTTTGTTCGTACATAAGTTGCACGTCCATATAGGATTCTATAGGACGGCGAGTTGTACGTCTATATAGGATTCTATAGGACGGCGAATTTTGTACGTACATAAGTTGCACGTCCATATGGGATTCTATAAGACGACGAGTTGCACGTCCATATGGGATTCTATAAGACGACGAGTTGCACGTCCATATAGGATTTTATAGGACGGCGAATTGCGCGTCTATATGGGATTCTATAAAACGGCGAGTTACACGTCTATATAGGATTCTATAGGACGGCGAGTTACACGTTCATATAGGATTCTATAGGACGGTGAGTTGCACGTCCATATAGGATTCTATGAGATGGCGAGTTACACGTCCATATAGGACTCTATAGGACGGCGAGTTGATTCTATAGAACGGTGAATTGCACGTCCATTGTATAGGACGGCGAGTTTTGCACGTACATTAGAGTTGCACGCTCATTTTATAGGACGGTGGACAAGAGTTAAATTCCACAAACGTACAAAATATAATATACCATCAAATATTAAAGTATTAAGTATGATTAAGTGTTACGCGTTCGACCAAAATAATAAACTAAATAATTATATCTAATTGGCAGACTATAAATATCTCGCGTAATAAGGTTCTTAAGGATCTGCAACCATATACTGTATACAGTATGTAGTTATTATTTTATATGCAAAAACTTTTTCGATCACTAATTCCAAGAGTTTCTTAAAAGAAACGGCATTTGTAGAATGCGGTGAAACAGTTTAGCAGGGTATTTATTTTCTTATAAGAATAATCTCACTTACAAAACTGCCTGTTCTGCCGAATTCAATGTTTTCTTTTAATAAAATAAAATAAAATAATAATACAAAGAGACCTCTATAAATACACTTACTATATTTTCTCTTTCTAATGCATGGTCAAGCTTGGTCCCAAGTACATAGAACTCTTAATAAAATTATCTTTACAAATGCACATTTTTCAAAATTTTTCCTATGGTTCTGAGGGGTGCATTTAAGGATCCTAATGATTCTTTTCAATTCTGTATTTGATTCTCAAGTTTATATTAAATTTAATAGGTGGAGTATACCCTATCATCATTTTTAATAATGTTCTGAACCTTATACGATTCTGTTCGATTCTATTCAATTCCAATTTTCGGAACCATAGGTGCATTTAAAGAGGGTTTACTGTAATAATAATAATAATAATTGTGATTGTTTTCTATAGAATATATTAATATTAGATTAAAAACAAAAAAAAAACTTTTTTTTACTTCTTTTTCTGCACTTGAAAATTTTTTTTTTAGGAAATTTTTGAGTTGTTTATTTTTTTTTTGCTCTTCTCTTTCCTTTCCCTTTATTCTTTTATTTCTTTTCCCTATTTTTTTCTCTCTTTTTTCAAAACATCATCTTTTTTATTTTACTTTTTTTTATTTTTTTATTTTTTTTTTCCTTTCTTTTTCTGCTAAAGTTAGGTTTTTTCTTTTTTTTGAAGGTTTTTCTTTCTAGGTCTCTCTTTCTTTTACAAAAACCACTTTATATTATCAATTCTTTGGTTAGTTAACTCTTTTTTTTCAAAAGTTATATTAGAAATTGACAACTTTTCTCAAAATATAAGCTTTGGAATTTTTTCTCTTTCATGACTTCATAAAAAAAGAATAGAGGGTTTACTTTTTTCAAAAGATCAATATGGTTATAATTACCAAATCCAATATTGTTTACCTGCTAATAATTAAATTAGATATATCTAAAAAACCAGTATACAACTATTATTATTCAAAGTTTTCAAAAAGTTGTATCCTATAGTATCCAGAGTGATATGGCAACTAATATTAATATAACCAGTTTGGTTGTAAATATTATGCTGGTAATTGAACAGCATAGTAGAATAATATGTGAAAATCAAGAATTCTAGTTAACTCACAACATAAGCTAGTAACAATAATAAAAGTTCTCTATCCACCTCTTTAAAAATACAAGTTTTGGTATACAAGATTAGATAACAATATCTATAAGAAATTCCAATTTTATTATATCCGACAACTCTCATTAACAATTATTAATACATGTCCAACATTTCACTTTCACTTTTTTTCATCTTATACTTGTGCTGAATCCTATTCAAATACTTGAATTGTGTGACTATATGTATGAAGCTTCCTGTAAAGAATAGCTGTTTCATTTCCTACTTGTTACAGGTGTAAACAACTGTTATAGACTTGAATAATCTGTAATCTGTCACTAGGGTTCCGATCAGTTTCATAAAAACTGATATTGATTTTTTGGTTTCGGTATTAATTTTTATGTAAAAATATTGAATTGAAAATTTCAATACTGTACTAATCAATATTGGTATTTATTGAAATTTATATTTATAGTATATTAAATAAAATTATAATTTTTATCTTGTTATATTATTAAAATAAAACAATATACAGTATATAAATATATTTAATGATTTAATTGTAAAATTTATTATTTAAATGGCTAAAAATACTAAAAATATTTAATAAGTCATTTTAAAAGCCATTTCAAAGTAATTTCAACAATAAAATATTATAAAATCAAAGTATATTATTTCTTTTCACATGTTGTTTCTCAATAATATTAATTCATATT